ATTCCTATATACCAGAAATAAACTCAAATAGTACATTAAATCAATATTATTTTAGCAATCGGTTAAATCTGAAAGTTCAGTTCTTAAGAACAATAAACGATAATACCATCATCCCTAAGGAAGGATAAATGCATCGTACTTTAGAAACGATAATACTATCATTTCTTAGAAACGATAAAATCGTCGTTCCTTAGGTATGATAAAATAATCATTCCTAAGGAACGATAATACCATCGTTTCTTAGATACGATAAAACAATCATTCCTTAGGAACGATAAAACTATTGTTTCTTAGGTACGATAAAACAATCATCCTTAAGGAACGATAATACCATCATCTCTAAGGAATGATAATACCATTGTGCCTTAGAAATGATAAATGCATTGTATCTAAGGAACGATAAAATCATCGTGCCTAAGAAACGATAATACTATCATTTCTTAGGTATGATAATACCACCATCGTCCCTAGAGAATGATAAAACTATCATTTCTTAGATATAATAAAATTGGCATAGCTAAGGTACGATAATACTATCGTACTTTAAGAACGATAAAACTATCATACCTTAGGTATGATAATACTATCGTTCCTAAGGAACGATTATACTTATTATACCTAAGAAACAATACAATCGTTCTAATCAGATGTCAATCAGTTATAAATAAGATAGGTCGAATTTTGATATATACCAATCGGCTATAAGTATGCCAATCGGCTATAAATAAGATAGGTTAAATTTTAGCTGATTCTTAGCCGATTTCTGATGTATGCCAATCGGCTAGGCTGATTTTTGATAATTTGCCGATTTTAGGCTGATTTTAGGCTGATTTTCGCATGTCTGATTTTTTTGATTTCGACCTATGAAAATAAAGGAATTATTTATATATTATATAAATATTATTGGTATTCTTATTAGTATTAGATTTACTAAATTCATAAAAAACTTATAATTAACAAGAATAATTTTATAATTTAAAAAAAATTATGCTATATATTTGTATTTTTATTAATATTTTCTATAAAAAAGAAATTTAAATTTAAAAATTATTACTGATTTTTTTTTAATCTTAATATTATTTCAGAATTTCTAATAAATCTAAATTTAAATATTGAAATTAGATATTTAATATTAAATTTAGATAGAATTTAAATTTTAAACAAATTAATTAAAATTAAAAAAATATAAAGATTTAATACATATATATATATAATAAATTATTTATTTACTAAAAGAAGTTATTATAATTAAAAAAATTAATAATAAAAAAATAAATAACTAATATAATATCTAATATAATAAAAAATTTGATAAAAATAAAATACACATTTATAAAATAAAAATAAAAAATAAAAGCTTAGTTATTTAAATAATACAACATCTAATATAATATAAAATTTGAATGAAAAAATTTAAAAATTTAAAATTTAATTAATTTAATAATAACTTTAAATATAATCAAAAATATAAAAAAAAGTAAAAAAATTATCAATCACGTGAGAGTAGATTAGTTTCATTGGCTGGTTAATGTTAAATTTTTCAAAAATTAAAAATCATAAATCATAAAAATTTAAAATGGTGACTCAAGTTCTAACATGTCACAACTAAAAAATGAGAGAACCTGAACAGCCTAGAATATCAGTTTCTGAATTATAAACCACAATAAACGCAACGAAATGATCAGCCTTTGGTATTTGAACTTCCACCGTTCGGGAATACGGGTCACCAGCTTTAGTACATCCAGTTCCACATGCAGGATAATTAAAAGAGTCTCCTAGTAGTTGATGATTCTGTCGATCCAATAATAAAACTACAATCATGGTTTTTTCGGTGACATCTTCCGAAAATTTTCCGGATATAGTAATGTTAACCTTTTCTCCAGTGGAGGGAGGATTGGGTAAAAATGATACTTGAAAGTTTGGTTTCGGTTTCGTTGAACCTTGTGATTCGGGACAATTAATACTGAGTCTTTTAAAAAGTTTATGTGGAATTGCATTGACCATGGAAAGAGCTACCAAAAAGAGGAATGCAAATATAAATTTTC